GGATTATATTACAATTTAGACTAACCATGGTTAAATGTAACCAAGGTTAGCTATCTAGTACTTAAGCTAACCAACTCTAGTTAAATGTCTAGAAGCTTATGGATAAACTTAAGCTAATCTTAGTTTAAGAATAACCTAAGTTAGCTTGTGTTAACTCCAACTACCTAACCTATCATTACAATTACCACACTAATGATTACTTAAACAAGTTGTTGAGATGTCAATATCAAAAGTCAAGTGACTTAATTTGCAACTTGGCTAAGTAAGCTTGGTGTGGACTTTCAAACCACTTGCATTTGCAAGTGGACGTCCAACCCAATGGGCCAAGAAAAAATTTGGTTCATCCAAGCCCAATAAGCCTATCACGACTTTAGCTAGTTACATCTCTCCTAAACTACGAATTACACCTTCAAAGAAAACAATACATGTACAAAGTTTCCTATACTACTTGACCAAAATACAAGGTCAAGATAAAAGAAATATTTACTAGGAAAATAGACACATAGAAGAGAAAGTAAGCTACTAAAATTACCTAAAGCTTAATAAGAGCTTGGACCTTTTTCATTTAAGCCTAACCCACTATTCTTAGTTCCTTTTGGATTTAGGCCTTAGGCATGATGTCATCATCCCCTCCCTTTTCAAGAGGATTTGTTCTCAAATCACAAGTTTTTTTTTTCTTCTTTTGTTATACTTGCAAGAGAAAATAAATTGCAAGCATTAGAAACGTTATTTACTTGATGTTCAAAGAAACTTAGCCTATTGTTCCTCTCTAAATGTGGAATGGACCTATCTTTAAGGATTTATCTTTTCTTAGGGTCTTCTTGAACTCCTTTTGTTTTATTTATAATATCTATACTACAATTATATTTTCCTAAATAGGTGTACTTATACTAAAGTTTAAAAAGATTTGCCTTGGATGTCCTATATGGTCACTTAGACTCCAAGAATCTAAAATATTTACAATAGAAGTTCCTTGCCTTCCTAAAGATAGAGGTGATCTAGGGCCACCATGACTAAATAATTTCTTTGGAACAAAGTGTTGTTCCCATGATTGGAAGGCTTGGAAAAGAGTATTGAACACTTGTTTATAGATCGAGTAGTTGAGAGGGATACCAAAAGAAGGTATCTTTAAAAAAGTAATAGGGTGCCCACCCTTCAACAAAAACAACTCCTACACCTAATTCACATGCAAAAAAGTTTTAGATCAAAAGTTTTATAAATATTTGGAAGAACTAAAACATTTGCATGGGTGAGCTCATGTTGAGTGGATTGAAAAGCTTGCTCTAGCTTTCCATCCAAAAAGGAAGGAATGATGTTTTTCAACAATTCATTTCGTGGTGTAGTAATGAATTGCTTAAGATAGAGAGTTATTTTGATTTGTCTTCTTATAGAAGAATGACTCTCTTTCTTAGCTATCACTTGTGAAAAAATATTTTCCACCTTTTTACTCCTTTCATCATTTTTTTCTCTCTCATAATTTTCATTTGTATTTCAACCACTTCCACTTGGATAGGTGTAAGAGGTTGTAATATAAATTTCTTATCATTGTTAGTAAGGAATATTTCATTAGTAAGACTATTATTAATAATTTTTTTTTCTATCAAATTGTCATGTTCTTCCTAACAAACCTTGTACTACAACAATTTGAACTTGAGTCACTATCAACAATGAGAGATCAAGTTTATCTAAAATTTTCCATCTTGTATGAAATATGTTCTCTTTTTGTTAAGTACTAATTTCACTAGATTGGCTTCCAAGAAGCCTTCTAATCAATAAGAGCTCACCATCACAAGGATTTTTTTCCTCTCCACTAGAACTTACCCTTCTTCTTCACTACCACTAGAGGTGGAGGAAGAAGATGTAGCCTTCTCTTGACTACTATAGTGGTCCTTGTCCCTTAAGATCATAGGCTTTTTGATGGGACATTTAGAGGCAATATGACTTTTCCCAAGACACATAAAACATTTAATGCTACTATTCATAGAACTAGTGTTAGGGGTTTCTTCCTTTAAAGAAAATTTTCCTTTGTCCTCTTTTTCCTTAGGTAGCTCACTCTTGGAGTGACTTTTATATGAGTATTCCTTTTCTCCATGGTCTTTTCTATGATATGAAGATGATGATGAGGAATTCTTCTTGTGAGAAATTTTCCTTAATAATTTTTTTTCTACCTTGATGCATAATTGGACTAAGTCATTAAGGTTTCTATGTGGAAAAAGCTCAACTTTGTCTTTGATTTTAATGCTCAAGCCACTAAGAAACCTAGCAATGATGGTTCTTTCGTCCTCCCTTATACTTGCACACACAACTCCATCTTCTGTCTATACTCCTCTACACATGTTATTTTGATGAAGTCTTTGGAGCTTATCCATACATAATAGGAAGGTATGTGTCTTTTTCTCATGGAAATCCTATGTTCATTCCAATATTTGATCTCTGTCTCATTACGAAGCCTTCTTTCTCTTTCTAAGGCAGTCCACCAATACATGACATATTCTTGGAAGCTAAGGGTTTTCAAAGGAACTTTTCTCTATTATCTTACATTGTGGCAAGAAAATAGTTGTTCTAATTTCATCTCCCAATCTAGGTAATGCTTCCACATCATCCTTCTCATGGAAGTGAGGGAGATCCACCTTGGGTTCCCTAACCTTATGCTTTCTCGAAAGTTTGGGATTATTAATATCAGGTTGGAAGTAATCACTCATGTGAAGGCTATCTTCTTCAAGATGAGGTAAAGGTTGACTATGATGAAAACTACCTTCGTGAGAACTACTACTAGGACTCTTGTCAGTAAGCGAATGACCTATTTGGTATAGGAGTCAAAATATGTTATTCTTCCACACTAAATAGTTATTAAAAAGAAACATAATAAAATTCATGGCCTCACTCTTTGAGTATGGCATACAAACACTGATATTGTAAATTCGGAGGTGTTTAGGGCTCTTTTGTATGAAGGAGAGTTTAAGTGATGGAAGAACTTTGGAGGAGGCCGGATTGATGTAGCTTCCTTCAAGTCTTTCCCTAGATCTTTGGCTCCTAGAATCCTTCCAATGCTTGTGTAAGGCTCCAATGGAGGGAGGAACCTCACGGCCACCTTAAGATGGTGGGGGAAACCTCTCAAGAATGCGCCACTCTTGGTGAAGGGATAAGCACTCTTCAATCCGCCACACTTGTCTTTGGAGAAGTGATAAGAGATTGGTTTTGCACAAAGAGATTTAGGACCTTTGGGAGGAGAGAATTCTGATCTCTAATCTGAACACTCAATTCTCATTAATGCCAAAAGTGTTATACAAGTGAAAATTTGAGGCTATATAGGCGTGGCCACCTAGGGGTTAAGCTAGACTAGACCATGGTTCACTAGGAACCATGGTTGGGTCCGTCCAACTTAGGGAGCAAGAAAAGGCTAGACCATGGTTCACTAAGAACCATGGTTGAGCCTTCCTAAACCGCCCTTGTGTAGGAGAGAAAAGAGGTCCAAGCATTTGGCCAAGTGTGCACCAATGTGAACACAAGGTGTGAACACAAAGGTGTGGACGGTTTTGATTGGTTTCATTTAACTCCACCCGGTTTGAAAATGGTTCATTTGGTTTAGTTAGGTTCATTCAATGTGAATGGAACCTAGCTAAATCAAATCTATGAAAAATTAGGAGTTAAATGAGTCCAATATGTAAAACCTTTATCCTAAGACCACATTTGGCTAAAATGCTAGGAGCACACTTTAGTCTACTAATGCCACTCCTATGCCTACTTCTAA